CTTCTCACTCAGTCTAAGTCGGTTTTTGTTTCCCAGTCAGTCCTTTGGGTAGAGCATCTGATCTCCGGTCTTCTCCATCATGTCAAAGATACAAGGCTTAAGGCCATTTCTTTGGGCTTTCAAACTTCGATGATTTGCGGTCCGAATCCCACTTTATCGAAAAGTATTCGTGACCTATTCGATCGTCCTCTGGACAATGGCAGAAAATTAGTATCGGAAATATGCGAGCGAATGTCACGGATGATGGCAAATGTCGAAAGTGGCGTACATGTACCCCAGGTTTGGAGCATCATAGTCTTACTTTTGAGAAGCAAAAGGCTCAGTATCGACCAATGGGAGCATTTTAAAGAATGGGTCCTTGTGCTGCAGAGATGCTTCAACTGCAGTGAATCATCTATCAAAGCTCAGGCTATCCTTGGCTGGAACCGATTTGTCTACGTTGTCAACCCTAGCGACGCGACGAGTCGGTCAATGCTGAGAATGCTAAGCAAACCCATCATGTCCCAGTTTGAGCGGAAGAAGCAAGAACGATATGGAGCACAGCCCGGACAATTAGCTTTGTGCAGCTACCACAACCTATTATACTACGCATTTCGTCCGTCTGCAACGTTCCAACACCTTGATGTTGTCTGGGAAGAATATGTTACTGGTCCCTCGAACGTATTTGCCTCATTTCCTAACTTGAACGATCGATTCTGCCACGCTCTTTCCAACCTACTTTGGAGCCCACAAGCCAAAATATGGACCGAGAACAAAGTCAACGAGAGCACGAAACTCGAACCTGAGGAGCTGCCTTCCATCGACTGCAGATGGGTGAGGTCAAGAATCACGATCATCCTGAATGTCTTCGAAGCCATCTTGAAATCCTCGCTTTGGGCTGATGATCTGGATAACTCGAATATCGCTGCTGCCTGGGTCAGCCTGTCTCAAGCTTTGTCCTATGCCTCAAGCAAAGAGATCACGCCATCCCCCGAATCCATGCAAGCTGTTGCCAGCGTGCTTGGACTTCTCCAACGGCTCTGGAATGCCGGTCCTTCCTCGCTGAACGCTCTCGATAACGACTCAATGGATCCTTTCTTTGATCGTTTTCGGTTTCTGTCCACTACCATGATCTTTTCTCTCGGAGGCATCCCATTTACTGAGAAACTTCTCCTGAAGACAGCCGATCAGACTTTCCAGGCTGCTAATACGCCTACGCATCATCCTTTGCGAGCAAACACTAACCTGGACAGCCCCATCCTGCATCTTCTCCGATTCATAAGTGACGTGCCTGGGGTTCCAGAACCTACACCCTCCTACTTGCGTCTGGTTGGTGATACACTTGAGGCTGCTTGCAATGGTAGGGCATCCCGAGGCTCCCGTCTGGAACTTCTTCAGCAATGCGCGCGGCTGTATCCGGATGATACTGAATTTGACTTTGGCGTTCATAACTTTGCTCAGATCGTGTGGAATTCAACCGCGCAGCTGGCTGCAGAGTCTCTAAGGTCTTTCCCCCTTGAATCTGCGCGGGAACGTGATGGTTCCGTGATTCGTGATTACGAAAATGTTGTCAAAATCCTCTCTACAGGACTCAAGTTTTCCACTGTTTTCCCGACATGGAATCAGCTTCTTGATGCCCTAGTTCGTGTCATGAGGACCGAGAAAGGGGACCGGGCCATTGCATCGATGGCTTTGGAACCTTTAGCTGAATGTATGATGACAATTGACGCTCGGAATACCTATCTTCCCTTGTCGTCACTCTTCACCCAGTCACTATCCATCCCATACTGTCATCAGAGCGATTCGGTTGCGAAGAAAGGCGAGGCCCTTTCAAATACTTCCAAAAACGACATATTTTTTCCACATCGATTGGTAAAGTTGGTGGATCGCACACTCCAAGAATCTTACTCGACGTTCGATCCCTCGAAGACCAGCGGTGTCGCGGATTTTATAGAGTCTTTGACATCCTTTCTAGGCTCCGGGATCCTGTCATTTCGACGGAAATTACTTGAAAACCTCCAAGAATCCCTTGCGCTTTGGCTCAGAGATGAGGCACGCAAACTCAATATCGAGAGTGGCGTTGAAAGCAGGATTCTTACAGCTGTACGTGTACTAAGCAAGGGGGCTTTTTAGAAGCATACTAACTTGGGTTTAGTGCCGTGCTTTGTCGTCAGCTGTCATCAATATTTTGCAAACTTCTTCCCCCCATGACGCCTCGTGTCTACACAGATTCGAATTCATTATCGGTGTGGGGCTCGAATCCTCTCATACATCAATTGCCAAGAGATTCTTAGAATTCTGGAATTCTACCTTCGGATCGCAGGGGGGCCTGGAATATTCTAAGGTTATCTCTCGCGCCCTGGGGAAACTGCTTCAGCTCCAAGCTGTTCATCGAGCTGGTAATACACAGGTATGCACTCCAGCAGTCTGTCTGAAATTGTGCCATGGACTAAATTTCTTCAAGGGCAGCGTACGCACCAGTTCCGTCTCACCAGCAGCGGTGCCACTCGAGCCGGTAGATATGTCAATCAAGTCTCGCATTTCGTACATCCTAGATGACACATATGAACATTCTCGTTCTCCCAGCTTCCATTCGTCGCCTGTCACAAATGAGCAAGAGGTTACGGCATTGCCGTTGAGTCGAAATCCAGATGTCATTAGACGGCAGTCCTCGCCGCCCTTCAAGGACAGACATGTTGGATCTACTATCGGGATTGAGTCGGATCCTTTCACAACCGGCAGTAAAGATTCTATCAAGGCCAATGACGTGTTCTCTATAATAGACAACATTCGTTCGTCTTCACCCCCCGTGCAAACTCCGAGAGAACTGGGATTCATTACCCCGCCGCATGCGCGTCAACTACGCAACCCAGACATGAGTACACATTCTCCTCGGACACCTACGTTTCCAGCAGTTGCAGCAGAGAACGAGGATGGCTTCTTCGGTTCTTCCCCTACCCCTGGCACTAGAGGCAGGATGCAGGTGGTCGGCTCAACCAATCCCTCATCGCTAGCGACAGAAGTTATGGATTCTTGTATGGATATCGATCCTCCCTCCTCGCCTCCAGGAATAAGGTCGCTTAGTCCAAACTCACGCAACAAAACAATCGCTTCATATCCCCCTCAAATGCCTCCAGACACAGAGAACGAGAATATGAGTCTCAGGGAGAAAGAGAATATCTGTGCAGTTCCGACTTATGAGAAGACGACGGCCAATAATGTCACATCCGAGCATACTGATCTCAGAAAAGCGGAGCACGATGAGCCTGGTCAATCAGAAAAGCCTCTCAAACGCCGTCTTCGTTCTTCTACGGACAAACCGCAGATCGCGGAAGTGCCTGCCATTTTAGAGCCTGCAACACCTATAGCACGTGAGGAAGCGGATTCTGTACCAGAACTACTTGACAATGGCAAGTCGGGGATTTTAGAGAGTGTCCACGTCCCCGAGTCTGCGCCCAAGATAGGCCAAGAGATCATGGAAGGCAATGTAAATCACGAGGAAATGCCGACAAAGTTGAACTGCATTGCAGACTCATTCAGCGATGACATGGAGACTCAGGTTGCGTCTCAACTGGAACAAGACTTGGAGTCTGCAGGGAATATGAACGAGGAGCCTAAAAGCGAAGCACCTTCAGAACCTCCTAAACAACAAGCGACAAGAAAAAGGAAACGGGAGGCTAAGGAAGTTGACGCTGCTGAAACACCTTCTACTCGGGAGCGACGTCGGTCTTCAAGGTTGTCATCTGTCAAGGCACCATCCGCTGTCGAGGTCCAAGAACCGATGAGCACTCGTGCCACGAGATCCATGACCACTGCATCATCGCAGAACCCAAAGTCTTCGCCAGCCGAGTCTGTTGCAAAGAGACGCAAGCGTCAGTCCAAGAGTGAGAGTGAGATTCCAGCCGAAGTCAATTCGGATCCCTTGGAACCGTCCAAGGAGCAAGGTACATCGCAAGAACAGATTGCATCAAGTCTCGATCCAGTTCAAGTCTCAGGGGTCACTGAGATTTCACCTCAAAAGCGGAGGTCGTCCCGCCTAGGAGGCCATGCAGCACCGGCCATCGCGGAAGAAAGTCCGTCTCGGAGGCAGTCGCCACGTACTGCCCGCTCACGGAGACAGACCAAGAACAAAGAGCTTGTCTCTGGAAGCTCTTCTCTTAGAAAGGTAGAGGCCATTACGTCTGATTCTGTGACGGGAACACCTTCAGCAGGAATTTCTGATCAGAATCTGACTCAGACCCAGGAGTTGACACAGGAAACATCTGTTCATGGCAGCAATCTTCCAGAGATGATTACACCTGGGGCGTCAGAACAGCCAAGTACTGGGGACTCCGCTGATACTGAGATGGCTGAAGCAGACTCACCGGCCGAGCCAGACACCACAGACGATCATGCTCAAGTCGACGCTGCTCAGACAAACGCTGATGCCAATGATCATGCGCTCGAGGACAAAAACTTGATTTCCCATTCCGTCCAGACAGATACCTTGGCCGACACTGTCGGCCAAGAAGGCGTAATATCCTCTCTACGAAGGGTACTTGATGATGTCAAATCGACCACCCTGAATCTATCCGGCTTGAAAGAGATCGACGATCTCCTATTCGACATTCGAGTGGAAGTGCACGAAGCACTGAGAAGACATACCGAGTAATTTCCTATTTGCATAGCGCTGGCGTTCCATTTTTGTCTCTTTTTGTATCTACCATCCTCCTTTCTTTTCCCGTTTTGGCAATAGCCGTCTGGAGGAAAACTGCTATTGCAATGTTTCTCTCGGTCAGTTTTCCAGGTTTGGTTTGTCTGAGTGTGGTCTTCAGGGATTGGGAAAAATGGACTGGACATTGCGTAGTATAAATAGAATTTCATTCATTGCTCTGTTTTCAGGCAAGTGATCGTTCAAGATGTATGAAGGCCTGGACGAGGTGAACAAAATTTCGTCTCCTTTGTATCAAATCAGTATTTGTACATTCCTACGTTATCCTGGGCTGAGTTGAGCAGGGACATGATATATACTACGGTCCACCTTAGGATACCCTAAACAGCAATGCATCACCAACTTTACTGCGGTCCCGCCACAAATAGTCGATCGGAGGCACACAAAGGGGCCCAGATATTTCCCTCGAGCTAGAAGGGCATATGCAGCACCCGAGTCCAGGCCGGCATAGCCGCCAGTCGTTCCCTCTCAGCTCGGATAACATCCCAGTCGACCTGGTGCCGGCCAGAATCAACACCAATCTGGGTGTGCACCCGCGGTACTTCCATGCGCTCCATAGGCCTGTGTTGAGGGCGATGAGGACGAAAGGCGAGACGTTGGCGTCGATTAGGGTGTCGGCGCCGAGGAGTCGCTTGCCGTATGAGCGGATGAAGAGGCCGACGAAGGTGAGGCCGAGAACGTAAAAATCTATGATCGTGTGTTAGATAGTGCCATGAAGTATAGGTGATTGTAAGCTTACAAAGTGATTCGCCAGAAAACCTGTCTTACAGTGTCCGGTAGAGACTTGGATGGATTCTGGACTCGGTGGCCGCGAGTCCGACCAGTCCGGTTCCGCTAAACGAGAAGGCAGCGGCGATGAACACAGAGCAGAAGCCCCGGAAGCCGTAGCGAAATGCACCAGGTCTGTACCAGGTTCGCGCTCCCCAATACCCACTGTACTTGCCTCGTTCAAGGCCTCCGCCGCCACCAAGATCAGAGCGATGATCATGAAGACGACGATGGCGCCGGGCTTCAGCACCGAAGTCCAGAACTCCTCTTCATAGCCCTGGGATCCGAAGGTATTTACTATGATGATTAAATGAGGAACAAGTGATCCACACGCCCACACTCACATCGACCTGGCAGTAGTTGTTTGTGAGACCAGCAACAGTAAGCTCCAGGGGTCTAACGTAGTTCCAGCCCTGAGCAAAGTCCCATGGTAAGTCGATGAAGCGGGTCGAGGAGACGGGGTACATGACAGCGAGCTCCCCTAAAGCATAGATCGGGAACATCTACGAGCACGAGAATGGTATGGTCAGGGTAGCAAGCATATTCAACAACATCGAACATTATGATACCGATAATTGTAAAGTCGAGGAACAGCGTAGCTGGGCCCTAAGTTGCTTCAGTACCTCATCTTGATACAGAGGTTGCCTTTGTAGGCACTCTACCCGGTTGCTCATTGCGCTGCCAGATCCAATGAAGAAACCTGCACCAATTGATCCCTCGATAGCAATCGTATGCATACGGCGGGTCTTCATATCACGCTCCACTCGACCGAGGTTTGAACGAATTCAGGTTCAAGCCATTGCGCGTCCAGTAGTCGGGCTGCTCGGTCTCTTGATGAACCTCAAGGCTGCTGTGCTCGGGGCTATTGGCGGGCAGGATTCGTGTCAATGTCTGACGTTTGAGGACGATTTTGCCTCCATGATTGGTAGAACGGTCGATTATGAGAGTTTATTGAGAGAGAAAACCAGTGGGTGTGGTCGACGGAAGTTCTCTGAAGCTTGCCCAAGAGTCATCGATAAGCATGCAGTATGAGAATGATAGTTCTTAGGCATCCTGTCACCATTCGTGAATAGCGTCGGCCTTGGTAGGACACTCCCATTCGTGCCTAATGTCACCCGATCTAGACCGTGATTCCGGTGTATCGTTATCCTTGATCGATCCGGCTTCAAGATCATTTGGCACACGCCCTTCTCTCACCCATTCTAGTTGATCATCCCATTCCTCCAAGGCTATTTCAGGCAGCTCTGGGGAGTTCTCCAGGTGTTCACAGGATGGTTTGGTGATTGCTTCCTTGCTTGCTTCTCGTCCATCAGGCTTGTGGGAAGGCATAAACTCCTTGACGGCCCGTCGATATCCGGATCCTTTGATCTTGAGAGCCCGATTTAGAGAAAACGAAGGTCGCGACTGTGAGCCTGCGTTACGCGATGCGTCCGAGGATTCCTTGTCGGGCTGAGCACCCCGCTGTCGGTACTGCCTGCTTCCGTATATGAATGCCTTCAGGCCGAATAGCTTGCGGAGCAGCGGCCATAAGCACATCAAGTTCGCCACATAAATGGCTGTGCTGGCCTCCCGAATGTACCAAATCTGATAGGTGGTGGTCAAAGGAGAGGCGAAATTGAACACTTTATTTAGAATGGCCGCCACAATGGTGAATACGCCGAGGCTCATGATGCAGATAAGCAGCAGCTTTTTTCTCGTCTTCATCTGCGCTTTAATGAGTAGGGGAACGGGGACCGCTAGCATAGCTGTATCCGACGATATGTTGAAGACAGCCTGGGTGATGGAGTAGTTCTGGTAGGTCGCACATTGCAGGTCCTTGACAGGCATGGCCCAGTACTGGGAGAATGGTCGACAGTAGACACCATAATAGGTGACCATAATGACAACGAACCCAACAGCAACATACACCGCGATGATCTTGACATAGAGATGTAATCGGAGATTCTGAGTTAACCGCCAGAACATGGTCAACATGCAGATCTTGACTCCCCAGGTTGAGAACAGCATGCACTGTTCCAATCCAATGACGATCTTACTACCAAAGATCCGGTCCTTGACTTCTTGAGGATTGGCTAAAACTTTGTCGTAGTCGGCTGGGTCCATCAGGTTTGTTGCATAGCGAGAGGATATTTGAATCAGAACTAGTAGACATGTATATATCAACTAGGATGAGATCATTGACATGTGAGCCGTTTCCGATAAAGGATGAGCAGCCAGTAGAAACTCACAAATGTTGCGCTCATGACATAGTCATCGACTATTGCACCAGTTACTGTTAGTAGCTGTCATAAGGGTTGGTGCAAATCCTACCATGGCATACAGTATAAGCGCTTGACCGATCCATTTGAGATAACGCGAGATATCCTTCGCCTGATCAGACCTTTGCCACCTCTCAAGGGCGTCTCAATGTACCTACATTCTACCAACGTAGAGGACAATCGCAATGCTCCAGAAAATGACAGACTCCGTGAGCAGCTGGTGTGGGGTGGGCGACACGTCCCCCATCGTGACAATGGAGCGCAACAGACGGGCAATCCGACAATGAGTACTATTGCTCATCTGAAGCAAAATAGCTTCAGATCGTATGCAACGTCAAGGTTCATCGCCGTCTACTGGTTTTAAAGATCGAGCACTATCAGCCATTTCACTGCGAGCCATGATGTCTCAGGTCTATCAAGTGGTACACGAATCCAAACATTGATTGACCGCATTATCACCGTGAATTTTTGTGTCAGACTTGAAATGATAGAGCTCGCAATCCCTCATTTGATGCTTGCCGCAATTTGTCAGACTCAGATGAAGCAAGGGAATAAAGGGAGGGAAGGGAGAGTTCAGCGCAAGGGACGCTTTGGGACCACAGCTCGTAAGGACGATTGGCCACAACCACGCTCAGAGAAACATCCATTGTTCAGTAAGTGGTTTGAGTGCATTCTTACGCATCAAAGAATGCTTAAACGTTTCTCGACTCCGACCGCTCGAGCTCCGACTCCTATCAGAATGACAGGCTGGTGGAGCACGAGCCACGAAGTCGTATGGCCCACTGTTGTCGTTCGACTCGAATCATGTGTGACTATTTATCTTTCGAGTCTCTGTCTCCCTTGCACGTCGAACCAAGTTCTTTTCAAGTGAGGAGAGGTGGTTGAATGCCATCACATGCGTTTGCCGTCTTAAGGCAGCCGGAGAAACATCTATATAGTTCGTTATTAAGCCTCTGTAAGCGAGCTTTCCTCCCTAGTTTGATTTCTTCTGAAACCAAGGGTATTCAAGGATGCATTTCGCATGTAAGGCTTGCGACACTGCGAACGTCCAGGTGACACGTTTGTGCCCAGGTCCGAACAGGGTTCGCTTGTCCTCATGATTTGCACAAGATGCGGTCAGGCTCAGCATAATGGCAAGCTTAAATCAAATAGAGCACAAAGTAGTCTTCGAGCGACATGCGTTCGGGCGCTCAGTGGTAAGCTATTCCACGCATCGCTTTCCTAGCAAGTGCTCACACTGCTCACTCAGTGATGCACGATAGCCAAGTTTCTGACCGTTTGAGATCAAACTTCTTCAATTATCGTCAGGTCCATTTGTCCAAATAGCGGTCAGGCATCAATTGGAGTCTTTCATACATGTCTCGTACCAGCCAAAGCATTCTCCACTATGCAAGGCTTCAATGTCAAATTCATCTCGGTAGGCATATTTCTCCACAGATGGTTCAGGAGAAGAAGTTGGCAAGCAACTGACATGGCAGAATCATGTACGTCATCCCTAGAATGTACTCTGAAAGAGTGATTATTTGCAATTCGCAAATGGAGAGCCTCCAGAGAGAGGAAAGCCGCCAGCCACAAGGATTTCCAAGCACCTCTTCTGGAATGCTTTATCGCTCCGAGAACCACGCGTATGTTCAGCCAATGGAGAAGTTCAGGAGCAACACTTTCGCTGTACGAAGCTCACCTCTCGCTCCAACGTAGTTATCTATGGCCGCTTTGAGAAAGGGAAAGGCTGGCGCTCTCCTGTGACTATCATGAAGGCATCGCCGCATGAGACTTATAGGTGCCTACAGCTAAGTCCAATTCAGAACCGAAGACCATCTTCGCTTCTTGGGCTTGTGGCTACCCAGATGGACAATTCCAAATGGTTCCTCATGTTCAAGCAGACAGCACTTTCCGAGAGCGTTAGGGCCGCCTAGTGTTGTGAGCTTCTAGGCTTCCGACCACGAGAATAAAAGTGGTTAGCACGGAAACAACAGATGATGATTGTCCAGTCACTTAATCTCCCTTGGTCGGTGAACATTAGCCAGAAAGAGTAAAGCTGGACATTAGATAGGTCTTATCATTTGATGTGGCGCACAACCATGTTTCGGATGAGAATCAAACTGCGTGTCTGCAGTCACTCTGCACATTGACAGCTATCTTCGACAATGCCGAAGCTGGTCGTCTCCGTCCAGCTGCAGCCTCCGATAACTTCGTTTTGTTGGGAAAAAAACATAGGACAACTTGTGTTCGGAATGGCCACAGTCAATCAAAATGGACTTCATCGTCGGATAAGTATGAGGTCTGGGCAGACTCAACAATGCAATGAAGTGCTCTAATTTAGGATTAGCGAGGACCTTGAGCTTGCATCATGACTTGTTGAGCTCACAGAAGGACTAGATATATCAGGGAGCCTCGACCCTTGTTCAGTTGAGTATACCTTTTAGCCCTAGACTCAACTGTGGCATTTCGAAGACAGACCGGTCCTTCTTCTGCATTATCTCGTCCAAGATTTATCATCCGATATGCTTGGAAAAATTGTCCTAGAGGAAGCATATGAACGCGCTGGCCTGGAGGAGCATTCGAAGCGAGAGGCCAGCTTGTACGTCGCTCCTTGGGACCGTGAGCGCTACATGCGCCAGATCCATGATATCAACCGGGAACATCTCCAATTATCCAATGAACATGGTATCGGATATATGTTCGTCTCCTTGACTGTCCCCGAGATCCAGGGCATTGTGGATAAGACCGAGGCGTAGAAGACAGCGACTCTGACGAACAAGTAGACTGTTGAGCAGATCAAGGACCACCGAGACCGCTTGGGCCCTTTTGTCTGCCTGTCAATGCATTTCCAGGCTGGCCAGAAGATTCGCCGCTGCGTCAAGCATCTCAGCTTCCACGGCGCTTTGTTGTGTGACTTCCAACATGACGGTCCGAATGGCGAAATATACCTCTTCTACGGCCAACCTCAGTACGATGCCTTTTGGAAGGTCCTCACGGACCTCAACGTTCCCCTTTATATCCACCCTGCAGCAAAAAAATGTACAGTCAGCGTCCATTCTTGATCGGACCACCTCTACTTTCGCTAATGGGTGAATCTGCATACTCTGGTATTGATCAGCAATGGCTTGTTTGACCGATTCCCCACAGCAAAGCTTATCTTTGGTCATCAGGAAGAACACATTCCCTTTGGCTTTTGGCGTTTAAACAACTGGTTCGAGGATATCGAGAAGCCCGTTGCTAATGAGAAGGGTAAAATCATGTGCAAGAAGACCATTTATGATTATTCCAAGCAGAACATCTAGATCACCACTAGCGGAAACTTCTCTACGGCGACACTCAAGTATGTGGTGGACGAGATAGGCGCAGACCGCGTCCTCTTAAGCGTCGACTAGCCATATGAGACCATCGAAAATGGTTGTGGCTGATGGGATCATGATGCGAAGGCCATTCAGGATGCAGTGGGAGGTGTTGATGCGTATCGTTGCATCGGTCGGGACAATGCGAAGATTAAGAAATGGCTGAGGCTGGGTGATTTTCGCAATTCGGAAGCGCCTATCAATTGAGCTACACTGGCAATTAGTGGATTCTCGGAGCTTGTACAATCGAGCGTGATAATATGCAACTATGGCAATCACCTTGTCATTTCGACTCTCGAATTCATTCAAGTAACGGTCACTTCGACGACATACCAAATAATCGGGCGAAGAAATGTCTTAAACAAGGCTGAGATCTCCACGATTCAGTGACCAAAGCCAAGAAGATGATATTGGACGAAGTGATATTCCTAAAAGTAATTATTTTGACGGAAGAGTTGGAAGAAGACGAACTTTACTCGACCAGCACGTGGTGAGGAAATAAAGTGGTCTGCATCAGGTCTCTGATGATGATCTGATCTTTATCGTCCTCCTTCTTGTCAATCCACAACCATGCACCGTAAGTATTCTCATTACTTTACCCAAATATGGAAATAGCAGAGAACAATCGAAAAGCCAATGAATATGCCCGAGAATGTGGACTCAGTGGCGAGGATCGACTGGAAAATCCTACTTTGAGCTTCCCCCTTGCTTGGGAACGCAAGAGCAAAGTACCCATAGTGGTGGTAGAAGTAAGTACTTGCGAACGTTGTCAAAGATTGTCTCTTGATTGCTCGCCTTATCATGCCACAGCTCGTCAAATCTTACCACATCCCGATGTGACTCGCAGCAATATGCTCGAGATGGACAACATGATATTATACCGCTGGCCTTGACATCGGCGATTTGATGACCAAGGAAGCCTACACTCAAAAATGTGCAACCCACGTGGCGACCATATGGGGACAGCCTCTCCTCCTTGCATGGAGTAGGAGGTAAGAGGTTTAAGAAGCACATGCCACCGAATAACTCGCCTGTGGCACATCGAGAGCACCAGTCTTTGTTGCACAAGAAAGATTGGACTTCTCTTCTCTCCTCTGCATCTCTTCACCCAATCAAGCAGATGGATGCTTCCTATGGTCCCAATAAAATGGACGACGCACTTTTAGAGGCTGCCTTAGGTCACAAGCAGGAGCTCAAAAGACACTTTGATCTCTTCAGCTTGGTTAGTCTTGGTATTGTCATTGCAAAGTAGGTCATGCACGGGGCTGACTGTCTGCACAGCTTTGCTGATATATTCGCATAGCTCTTGGGCCGTTACTGGAGGGACCATCGTTGCAGCTCTGCAAGATGGAGGCCCCATGGCAATACTTTACGGCCTCATACTTGTCAGTATATTCTATACACTCATATCTGCGTCCCTGTCCGAACTCGCATCTTCTATGCCATCGGCCGGGGGTGTTTATTACTGGGCATCGGTGTCGAGCCGAGAATACGGACGGTTTGTTGGCTTCATAACCGGGTACCTGAATGCTTATGCTTGGCTTCTGTCGGGTGCGTCGATTAGCTCCATGCTCGGGAACGAGGTTGTAGCCATGTACCTGCTCCTCAATCCCGGCACGCAATGGCACTCGTGGCAGGTATTCATCGTTTTCCAACTGCTCGCTTGGATATGTTGCGGGATAGTTTGTTTCGGGAATAAACTCATCCCTATGTTGAACCGAGTTGCTCTTGTTCTCTCTATGTGTGGTCTATTGGCAACCGTCATTGTCCTCGCCGTCATGCCGAGAAAGCATGCAAACAATGCTGAGGTTTGGAGAAGATATCATAACAACACCGGCGGCTGGTCGGATGGTATTTGCTTCCTCATAGGTTTGATTAACCCGGCCTTCTCAGTCGGAGTCCCTGACTGCATCACTCATCTTTCCGAGGAAGGTTTGTGATCTTGCTCCTAGAGACTACTATTTTCCTGAGTAACAATGCTTTCTATTTAGTTGTGAAGCCCGAAATCAGAGTCCCTCAAGGAACGATGCTCCAGATGTTCACTGCCTTTATCACCACCTTTGTCTACCTGATTGCTTTGTTCTACTCCATTGAGGACCTCGACGCTGTCTTGCATAGCGAGATCTCGTCTTTCCCAACAGCAGAAATCTACCGACAAGCCACTGGATCCACGGCAGGGGCAGTCGGACTGGTTGCGGTGCTCTTCCTAACCGCATTTCCAACCCTTGTTGGAGTCTACATCACCGGGGGCCGCATGTGGTGGAGTCTTGCTCGTGACAACGCAACGCCTTTCGCCCCATACTTCAGTCATGTCCATCCAACACAGAAGAATCCCATCCGGGCCACTGTAGCTATGGCTGGTATGGTGAGTTGCCTGGGATGCATCTACATAGGCAGTACTACCGCATTCCAGGCACTACTATCGTCCTATATCGTGCTGAGCACTCTGTCCTATCTAGGGGCTATTCTGCCTCATGTTCTGACAGGCCGGAAGAACATAGTGCCTGGACCTTTCTACCTGGGAAGAAAGATGGGTTTGGTAGTAAACGGAGTGACTGTGGTCTATATCCTTGTTACTATTGTCTTCTTTTGCTTTCCGCTCACTCTCCCGGTCACAGTTCACAACATGAACTATTCGAGTGTCATTGCTGTAGGACTAATCGCTTTGACCGCGTCATGGTGGTTTGTTCGCGGGAAACGTGATTACAGGGGGCCGCAATACAGCGTCGAAATCGCGCAAAGTCTTCCCGCCGAGTTGGAAGAAGAAAAGAAAGGACTATCTGGACCGAAGAGCACTCGAGCCTGCCTAGAAACCATATAAATGGTTGGATACCTATATCTCAAGCGCCGCAACGTGTATTAACAGCAATTGAGATCTATCTAAGGCATGGGGCGAAATCCAGTATGAGTCCAGCAAGAATTACTTTCTATTGTAACCTTGAGGGGTACGCTCAGATCGCAAGGTTCGTCGAGTTAGTGCCTTCTTAAGGCATCACAAGAATTCACTATCATCATCATCATTCAGTAAAGGAGAGGATTAAGCCGGCCATTGCATCTACAATCTCGGGCGAATTGTCTGGCTCCCCTCCCAGGACTCGCCAGCCTCCAAGGTCTGCCAGCCAGCCACGGAACCAGCCTCGATGCAAATCATACGCTTGTATCCATCATCCGGGCCAAAATCAGCCATGCCCTTCGCCTTTTCGATCCAAGGGTTCCAGACAACAACATCGTTCAATCCCTCACGTGTAACGGAGAAAATAGGCTTGTCGTCAGCGGCGGATGCCACAATGATGGGAACCTTAGGGTCCAATGCTTGGTAAACACGATCTGTCTCCTTGTTGATCTCCAATGCAGGCGAAGTCTCAGTGTGCGTAGTAGCGTTTCGGGTCTTATCGATGTAGGTCTTGGATTCAAGGTTCTTAACCCGGATTTGCGAGATGTCCTGAGACGCATTGGTAATTAGCAACGGAATACAGCAGCGTCAGGATATGAATGGCAGCTTACATCAATCTTTAGATAGGTGTGCATCAGGACCTGGAAGTCGAAATTCTGGCTGCCCTTGTTCTGCACTTGCAGGGATGTTTCCAGACCCTCCTTGGTCAAGGTGACACTGTACAAAAGGCCAAACTCATACGGCCAAGCCTTCCGGAATTCTTCGCTCAGCATAGTATAAGACAGACCAAAGTCGAGCTTGACCGAATCATCGCAATCCTTCTTTCCTAGTGATTCGGACGACGACTTGCCCAGGAACTCCCAGTTCGAGTTGCGCGCGAAGCCATGCTGTGGGAGGGAGGAGGTAGCGTGGTTGGGAGGAGGAGGGCCGAAGACCTATAGCAAATAGAATATTTCTCAGATCAGTCCTGCTGTCCAGCTGTAGGTAAGGAGAATTTGGATAAACGTACGGGGAACACAATGGGGATGCCACCACGGATAGGCTTGGAGCCATCCAAATGAGCCTTTTCACTCATGAACAACTGTTCCCGTCCATTTGCAAGCTTCCAAGAGGTGACCGTTGCTCCATACAAGTGAACAGTGACTGACTCGCCGGTAGGCAAGGTGGCCTCGATCTTGTTCTCGCGGAAGGTGATGGTGGGCTGAGGTAGTGATCCGGCCACACCGATGGCTGAGGGCTTGTTAGACCGCTCCATTTTTTTTATCTTAGGTCTCAAAGCAGATCTTAGGCCAGACTTGTTGGTTTGAGAGTCTAAAGAGCGAAGATGGTCGTTGGGCTTGCTGTGATGCGGGGAGTGCTAGAACGGAATTGAGGGGAGGCGGGGCAACAACACCCATCATAATCATCACCGGCCGTGGGGTCACTTTTATTTCACCACATACATATGATCTCCCTCTGACATCAAGCCATTCCACACTTGAGAATCTTGTCTACCATAATCTACATTCTTAATTGAAATGATTCGTCTCTTGTTCATTGTTTACTTTTCCATCTCCGACTAATACTCTGTCGTACCCAAGTGCAGTGCTTAAAGCGATCAAAGAAGCAATCTGATTTGTAATAGTACAGACTATTCCATGCCTCTAACCATGCTGCCAAAATACCGTGGTATCTCCTTCGATGCTCACGGCCTCAATCCGTCGCATCTCGTCTACTGTTAGGCGCCAACCTAGAGCCTGCATGTCCTGCTCCGCTTGATCACCACTCCGAATCCCCACCACAGGAAGAACTCCCTTGTTGATACTGAAATTCAGTGCCACAGCGGCCACGGGGACACGCCTTTCTTCAGCGATTCGCCTAAGCACGTTCAGAGTTGGCTCAAGCATGTGCATGGGATAGCTACTGAAACGATAAGTCCGCGGAGGCTCATTGAATCGAGAATACTTGTCCGTCAGGCGGCCCTCTGCCAGCGATGCATATCCCTGGAAGACGATGTTCCTATCGCGGCATTCGCGAATCAATCCATGAACTTCTGGATGTCTTCTGATGACGGAGTACTCGCACTGATTGACCGCCAGGGGGATGCCATGCTTGTCGAGCTCATTGGCCATTTTGATCATTTCTCCCTTGTCATAATTGGCAACTCCAACAGCCCGTGCCAACCCCAGATTGACGCAGTCCGCAAGACCCTTCGCGATAGTCGAGATCGAGCTAAGGTGAGTGGGTCCATGGACAACGTAGACATCCACATATTCAAGGTTAAGATTCTGCAACGAGCTCCTGAGCTTGTTGACCGGGCCGTGCGATTGGAGAAACACGTTCGTCGGGTCAGGCCATGACATCCACTTTGTCTGTATGATGAATTGCTCCCGCCTCATGTCCTTGAACAGTTGGCCACAGATACGCTCGCTCTCGCCGTCGCCGTACGCAATGGACGTGTCGACAAAAGTCAATCCGACCTGTCGCAACTTTTTCCAGGCGTCTCTGATTTTCGGAAGGTCGACTTCTTCATTGTATTTCCACGTGGCTTTGTCGCCCCAAGACCAGGCACCAATGCACATATATGGCACTAGAACATCATGGACCTTTCCTCGCAGTGCGATTCGGGCCTGCGAGTCTGGTATGATATCACTGGGCAACACATGACACTCCTCGCTCGTCTTGGGGTCAACGGGTTTCGGGTGCGGCGAATGCATTAATCCTTCTGTAGCCGACATGCCAGATGCCAGCCCCGTCTGCAAAACATACTGACTTCCTGCGGCTGTCATTTGCGTAATCAAGGATATCAATATATAAATGTAATTGTAGTCTTATGTGTTCTCGGACTTTTGTGTACGGAGCAGGGAGCAAATATCATACAACGGCACAGTATACCCAGATTCCTCTTCGGCGAATATATACACAAGCATTGGCCCCTCTTCGTCATTGTGGTGGCCAGACATCTGAGAGTTCCCGGAGGACATGTCCGAGCTCGCCTCCATCCATCCTGCATGACAACCGTTTGCCAGGCTGATGGCAAGAGTACCATGATTCGCAAAAGCTCATTAAGAGTGGTCGGTTCTGTCTCAAAAAAGGAAACAAAGATAATCTGAACAATACAAAAATGTCTAAGCAAAAAGAGTGCGCCAAACGGGATTCGAACTCGTGTCTCGGTCTTGCCCAGTACGGGAATGGGAGGACCGCATCCTAACCACTAGACCATTGGCGCGCTGTTATGGTTAAGTCAGACAAAGTTCGAGTCATGACACATTCAGTCTGCAATTCGATTTAGGCTTTGGGTGAGAGTTTCGCTTTGGTCGTGTCTCTTTGTCTCGAAAATTCCTGATTGATGAATACGGCCTGAAGGATTCATCCCGTAGGTTTGGAATGGACTATATGACATTCGCGTTTGTTGAATATAGAGACAGGTGAGCTATAAGAGAGATGAAAAGGGAGAAAAGAAAAAATTCGACGCGAGAAAACGCCATCGCTATGCTCGAGGTATCCAATCTAATAACCCATCCTGAACTCCAGTCCAAAATTGTGGGTCAACCCAGAAAAAAAAAAATCAAAATCGCATCAATGCTTGTTATCCCATCCGAACGAATGATAATCATGCTCTTCCCTTAGAGCCCGATACAGCAGCCATTGCTGCCCCCTCAGTGGCTACAGGCTTTGAGATCCCAGTTGTACTCGTAGCATCACGTTTAGATACTTCCTCATCGATAAAGCAACCCAAGCCTGCAAATGCCTCGAGCAGGGTACGAGAGTAATATTCCCGTAAATCGTACCCACCTGCCTGCATACGGGTGTCCTGTCTGATTGGGTCGAGGTAACTCGATGGGTAGTGATCGCGTAGGGTATAGTAGTCGCGCTTGTTGGGAACGAGGCCGCCAAATGGATCGTAGGGCTTCTCGGGCTCCGGGGTCTTAATCTTCTTGAGACCCTTGATGAGGCCTGTGTCTGCTGCACCTGCGCGCTCCGCAGTGTTGGCTGCCTGGCCGAGCTTCTTGAGCTCCGAGCCGCGCAGGGCGGCCTGCTTCTGACGGATTCGGTCTTCCTCGCTACGCCGCGCCGATGATTTCTTGAGGAGGACTTTGTGGCTCTCGCGGGCAATGGTGGCAGCATCGCCTGGTTTTCCAGCGGCAAGCCGGGCGAGATAGTCTTCCCGGCCAGCGATAAGATCTCGTCGTTCGTTCTCGTATTCTTGCCTTGCTGCCTCCCGGCGGATACGTGCGAGCTCCTGTTCATGTGTCTGCTGTTCTTGGAAAGAGGATGCCTCCTGGGCTTCGAGCGCGCGGTTGGCCCGAATGGAGTTCATGTTCTCTTGAGCGTATTTCTGGAGATCTGCCTCTGTCTTTGCTACGTCTGTACCGTGGACGAGATTCGCAATAATTTCTTCACGCTGTTCAAGGAAGTCGTCCCATGCCCGTTTCGAGTCGAACTCCTCCTCGCGGCGATTGAGACTGCATGTCATTAGCCCGGCTCAGGGAACAAGACCTCTGAGCATTGAGGAACCTACATCGACATCACTCGGCGCCGTATATCCACCTCCCTTTCCACCCCGATATCCTCAAATGTCTGCCTTCTGAACCGATTCTTCCGCAAAGTTCTATGGCATCCTGCGACAGGGCAGTTGGCAGGGCCCGACGAGAAAATCCGATCCACACATGACTCGCACATCTTATGGTAGCATTCTGGATTGATAAGGAATCGCATATCCGGGTTCAAGTAGCGGGATGATTTGCAAACGGGACAAACCTCTACACAAGGCCATCAGTATTTAATCGCAGGCAGATCTGGTAGCCACAAGGTATTTACTTACCATCTTCATCCCCGCGATGAGCGAGGGCATCGCGAGAAGGAGACATGATTCGCAACCAAAGAGACAGATGCAACCAAACAAACCGAATGAAATGTGAGAAAATGTAGCGAAAGGCGAGCGAAGTTCAAGAGGAGAGAAAGATGTTCCTGGCGATGACGCCGATACAACCCAGCTGATAAATGAAGAGCTGGAGGGACGGGCCAATCAGAAGCATTGCTCGCAGCTCCGCACTGCGGAACTTCTTTTCTCTTCTTTGCCTCAGCCAACAAAATCTAGATCCTAAGCATACTTACAGCATCTTCTGGCCAGAAAATTTTCCGTCAGGTCGGATACAATAAAACTATATATGATGGTTTTAATCTACTCTTACGAGATATACAATTGAGAATCTTTACCATGGGCGTGCCAGACGACCACTTACAAGACCTTGAGCGTCAGCGCCTCGAACTCGAAGGCAATATTCTGAAGCTTCAGGAATCGTTGTACCATTGGCGAACTTGGGAGGCCGAGTACGATGGATTGAAGGAAGAAATCAATGATCTAAACGACAATGCTACGACAAGCGATTTTCTCCGCATAGGCCGCAACTTCGGCGGGTCGCTGGTTAACGAAGACGAAGTCAAGGTGATTCTGGGCGAGAAACAAGGCGTGACACGATCGAGGCAACAAGTTATCGATTTGATATTGAGGCGGATTGACTATGTGAAGGAGAATGTTGCGACAATGGAAAAGAGGCTGCGCAAAGCAGAGTCTCAGCTTTATGCGCTGGAGACTGCCGAGCAACTTCCCTCAGAACCTACTGCGGATTTTCCCATGACGGAGATCATGGAGGAACTCGACGAGAATGGCAATGTGATTTCCAGCTCGACCTCTACGCCTGGGAATCAGGCCCCAGAACTCTTGGAAATTCTGAAACAGGCCGGCGTGAAGGACATACCAGAGGCTCCGAAGCGGAAAGACACGGAAAATGCTGCACCACCTGTCAGTGCCGAGGATGATCGGGCTGGTGGGGCTGAAGAAATCCAGGCTCCTGGTCTCAAGGATCATCAGGCCGAAAAGCAGGACGAGAACGCCATACCTCCAAAGCCGCTAGCGGAAACGCAAGAGGAGCAGCCTATCACTGATATCGATGAGCCCCCGGAAGACGCAGAACTACGCCGTGAGATGCTACGATACAGCTTGGATGAAGTCGGAGCTGTCGTTGCCGAGCTTGAGCTAGACGAAGACGCGGACGAAGTTTCCGTTGACGAAGAATATGACTATGATTATGACTACGATGACAACGAAGAGGAAGAAGACGAATTTGGAAGGACGCGCCCTGTCTTGGACGAAGAGTATCATCGGCAGATGCGGGAGCTAGAGAAGAAGTTGAACGCCAAGGGCATGTGGAACGTGGGCAAAGATACCACTTCCCTTCCAGATGATATTCAGAAGGAACTTGAAAACCCTGCTGTTGTTCGCATCGAGAAATCTCACGAATCTGTTGATACGGCGGTGCAAGAGAACAAGCCGAAGAAAAAGGTTGCTTTCGCTGAAGAGTTGGATATTGCTCCCGCTCCCAAACCTGCTGCCCCCGAGAAGAAGATTCTTCCACCCAAGCAGCCCGAAGTGCCCACAATGTCGGACTCAATCGTTGAACGCACCCAGCAGGCCGGGAAGACTTCAGCGGCAAGTAGCGGTCCAAAGAAGGCCTCGCGCTTCAAGAGTGCCAGGAAAGCAACCACTGAAGAGACAACCGGCGTCGTTCCTCCGACCAACGGCATCCGAGCCTCAGATCCCCGTCCATCTCATCGCAAGCCCACTGCCCCGACACCAGATTCCATACCTCTCTTCCCTGCCAAACCAATTCAACCCAAACCCTTCTCACAACCAATCTCAGATATCATTGAAAAGCCATCCCCGCCACCGCAACCCGAAGGTCCGGAGGGGAAGATCCTCGCAGATACCCTTATCGAGCGAACCGTCTCAGAAGGAGCCGCCGTCGCTCCCGAGCCAGACGAGCTCGACGAGCAGCTGCACAGGAAAGAAATCGCGACGGAGTTCTACAGGATGCGAAACCGGATGATCCAGCAGAACGGTGGGTTCGTGGACAACGAGCCCGAGATGGTTCCCATAGAGACCGAGGGAGGGCCCAACCGCGTGAGCAAGTTCAAAGCCGCGCGGATGAGGCAGTCGTAGAACTACCACGGCCCTGAGAGCATATACCCATTCTATCAACATTTTTCTTTCTTTTTCTTTCTTCTTGTGTAGAGATCTATTTCTAAGTGTCGATTGGAATTCTCACTCTGCCACTTGCTCTTCCGGAGCTCTGGCGGAGTCATGATCATATCGGAACCAGTGGTATGATCACCTTGAGAGAATTCCAAGATCAAAAATAAAGAGGGCTCTCTGACTGTATTTCGTCCCCTGCTCATCAATCGCACGTATTGTGCTCAAGTAGAGTACTTACGGACGGTTGATGGGATGGAACATGTGGAATCCAGTTACGTTTCACCCTCTACATGAATGTCCAGGCTGGCATAGGAGCTGGCTCTTTAGATAAACGGTCAGATTGATTTTTCCATCGCCGATTCTTCGCTTTCTTACTCGACTAGGCTATTGAACATATTGTATCTCCCCGTTCAAGAGTCCAACAAAGCAGCTTAGCTATCGAGTCCTGCGTAGACCTATGCAGTCGTAACGTCATGAGGAAATTATGAAGAGTATCATGGGGCTTGTACAGCAACCGAAAGTCTTTTGGCGGAAGCCATGAGAGGATAAGTAGAAAATTGCAACACGGGTCTACGGCCCACAAAGGCATTTCCCGCTCCCTGGACAATCAAACAAGCATTGCCTCTCCCGGGGCTTGCCAGATACATAATTTATGGAACCGCATGCTGAGGCTGACAATGAGGAAGTGGACGCCGAGAGCAACAAACTGTGCCATTAAACTCCGGGACCGCAGAATGAATCCCGCCAGTAGAAGCAAGGGGTAGAGCACCCAAGGGTGGACAGCCAGGGGAGCACACGGTTGAAAGACTGAAACAACCTTTACGAAGAATAGAGCCAGGGGCAGAAATGGCATCGTGGGCAATTGATGAGACGAGATAACTCCGAAGAACCTTGCCAGAAAAGGACGAGTTGGCGGCGGAGGCAGCAACTGCTGTTGGGGAGGAGTATCTTCATTTTCATTTGTCTGTTCAGCAGGGCCGATTTGATCCTGCGGAGGCGACGAGGTAGCAGAAAATCTGGGCCGGATCATCAGTTCTCGCTCAGAGGCGAGAGAGTCTCTCTTCTCTGTTCCATTGCTATTGGCAAAAGACGCCGCCTCAAGCATGGTGCTGCTGGGTTCATAGTTAGGGCTGCGCCGCAAAGCCACCGGGCTTCGAGCAAGTGCATTTCTTGGAGATACAGAACGGGCGACCGATGAAGCGTCGGGGCTATCGACTGGATGAATTCTAGAGTTGGAACGTGGGTCGGGACTCGTGGAGCTAGACCTTCTGAAGCGGAAATGCTCATTTCCATTAACACCGGCCTGAATGCCGCTCAAGACTTCATCCGCAGTCGGCCGTCTATCAGGATCCACAGATAAGAGACGCTTGAGAAATGTATAGAGCTTCTCAGGCAAGTCCGGTCGCAGTCTACGTGCGTCATCAAACCCGGCCCACTGGCTGATTTCTGCACGAAGCTGATCAAGATCCTCTTTCTCCTCGTTAATCAGGTCAGCATTGCGGTAAGGAAGCTCTGCAAAGCATAGGAAATGAAGTATCATCCCCAAGGAGAAGATATCTGATTTGAAAGTGAAATTGCCAAATGGTCCTCCAGGGAAATCTCGTCGTAGGACTTCCGGTGCGCAGTATGAAACAGTTCCGGTTGCCCCAGTTGACAATCGGGTGGTATCCTGAGCCTGGACCTCGCCAAAGTCACTGACCAAAACCCGTAAACCATCACTCGTTTCATGAAGTAAGCAGTTATTAGGTTTGAGATCGCGGTGTATATAGCCGTTCACATGTAAGTACCGGAGGCCGGACGTGATGTCCTTGAAGAACGAATAGATCTCCTCGAAATTCAGTTTGCGAGGTCCGCCGAGGTCAATCTTAGGTTCCGGCTCTCCCTTAGATTTTCTCCGCAGACGCTCTTTTAATTGCTGTGTCGTCGTCGTATCTTGCACTGAGCCACAAATATAGTTGTGTAGATCTCCGGCGTTGCAGTATTGTTGTAGGATGAACGCACACGGTACACTTGGCCCAAAGGTGCTGATTTTGGCATTCTCAAGCCATACGTGCCGATAGGATACGAGATTCTGATGCGATAAATGTTGCAACAATTGAACCTCGCCCAGGACTTTTTCCAACCATCCGTGGTCGTCACCAACCGGAACACGCTTGCAAGCATAATGTCCCAACGATACACCATCAAGCACATGCTTCACCAGAAGCACCACACCTTTTCCCCCTTTCCCTAGAATTCTCTCCTCAACGAAGAATTTTTTGAAGTAATCCGGGGTAAAAGCGGCGGAGGATATTCCTTGAGTTCCACTCATTGAAGGAGCTGGCTCGCTCGTCGGCCCATCTGCAAGAGCAGGTTGGACCAAACGCCGAAGCGGAGAAGGAGGTGTTGACGAGTCCGCGGAGCTAGGCAAGCTATTATGGAGCATGCGAAAGTAGTCCGGGTTGATAAATTCCGGCTGTGCTCGAGGACTAGCATGGTGACCTTCTTGACCTGCATTGCTCTCACGCAGCGGTCGATGGCAATAGGGACAGTCGGTCAATTCAAGGCCTGCATGGCTGTCAGAGGCGCTCCGCAGTACCAGCTGTTGGGAGTCTCGATCGAAAACGACGACTGAATCATTGTGACGCCTGCAGTATTAAAATCGTTAGATGCACTGGCACGAGCACGGATCCTGTGTAGTAGAGCCCTTACAGCACAACGTCAAAGTTGGAAGATCCGTAGGGAACAATGGACATGCCCTCTTCCGCCATTATTGGGGGAACGGTCGCACATCTCTCGAGGGAGCAGAGACATGAAGAATTAAAGTTATATTTATGGACGCTGGTTTCACAAAAG